GCTCATGCCCCACACCTTTCATGTTTTTCAGGTCGCAGGGTCGGAGATGAGGAGTGGCGGGCGAGCTGTTCAGGACATTTATGATTATTGTACTTATGATTTGCCACGCTAGACTTCCGCTAAATCTTTTCACTACTTTTATCAGACTTTGTTCCGATGTTTGTCGGATAAGACATTATGACCGTTTTTATTTATCAGTTTAAATTTCTAAACGGTTCTCAGAAAATCAAGTTTTTCACGGTAACCCCCGAATCAGTTTCGCAAATAAGAAGTTTGTTTATTTATTCAGAAAATTTGCGAAAATCGCGCACTCTGATGTAATTTAAATAGCGGGGTGTTACAGTTGTCCCCGTCGAGTTACGTTACGGTTGCCCTTGCGAGGAAAGTCTCCTTAAGACCTAATGAAAGGCCATGTCCGTTACAGTGGCACGCACTCCCGCCGTTAGGGTTTATGCATCCCCTTTCCGCGGCTAATGATAGATGTGCACATGAGTGAGTTATTGTTGTGATTATTAGGAGATGAGACATGATGATGATTGATTTATATTCATACTGCGACCATACCATCTTTACATGTTATTATGTGCATAGTAGTGAGCACTACTTTATCATTTTTGCTCATTCTCATCTGCTCTTCACGGATGCAGGTTAAGCAGTGGCCGGGTGACGGGACAAAGGGCGAGTGGTGGTCTATTTATTTTTCGTTTTGCTTCCGCTTTAATAATATGGTTGTTATGAACCTTTCTATGTTTTGGACATGTTAAAACTGTTTTCGAACTATGCTATGTTTTGATTTTTGGGAATACTTTGGAAAACCCTTTTATGAACCTTGAATAATCATGGTGTTTGATTTATGATGTTTCAATTGTTCATATTGGATATTACGTCGAGATGTGAATCAGGTTAATAAAAACCTTGTAAAAATCGGGTTTATGAATCCCTGTGGGTCCATATAAGACTTAGACTAAGTAAAGATGTGTTGGTTAATGCCCTTGATTTCAAAAATGGATTCGAAAAATTTGTTCTGATTTTTAGAAAGTCCAGAATTTCTTTAAAATCAAAGTGGGGCGTTACACGCATGATGTGTACGAGGTGAGGACGCCCCAATTGATGGTCGATGATGAGTCCTTGAGGGCAAGGACATTCTTAAAGGGGCGGGAATGATACGGAATTGGGTATCGACCTTTGATGATGAGAAAGGCCGAGGGCTGAGGCTAATGAACAAGGCCGAGCAAAGGGCGCAAACAAGGCTTGCATGGCCTAGGAGACGTGCACGAGCCCGTATACGAGAGTGCCGACGTGCACAATGGCATAGGAGGTCGAGCAAGAAGCTCAAGATATCGAGGCTTGAAGGCTCGAGCGACGTAGTCGACTGGCGCAAGGTGTGCACGAGGGAGCGACGCGCACGACGCTTGGAGGCTAAGGCCTCGGGTGTTTACATTACGGGAGAGAAAAACGGTGCGTATTATCTTGATTTGAATTTTACATGACTATATAACCCTTGCTTGAACTCTGGAAGTTATTCCGAGACAATTAAATGGTCATCTCGGAATTTGGAACGTGGAACTTACTGACTTACTGTGGCTTGATAAGGTGCGACTTCAAGTTTCTAGGTAAATTTGGAGTAATGATCTGTAATTCAAACCTCCCCATTTAACCCGACTTAGTAACTATTATACGTCGACCTTAGAATCATGAATGTTGACTTTAAATCATGAAAATTGATTCATGAATATGTACTATATAGGGTTGTTCAAGTATCAACTGGTGGCGCAAGTACAAAAGGAATAACTGAACTTTGAGCTTTGAAAACCATAACTTGGAATATTAAACTGATAAAATACATGACATAACTGACTTTAAAGGTTCTTATTACATGAAATCATATAGTTCCGGTCCCAGCTTCAAGCCTCTATGGTATACCCGGCTGAATGGCTCTTATTTCAAACCTTCATGGTAACCCGGAATATTGACTCTTATACACTGGAAACCGTTACTTTTGACAATGGCTTGGGAAATATAACAACCTTTAGCATGAAAATTTTGCCCTGAACTTTATTTACTAGTCTGACTTAGGAAATTTGAGTCTATTCCCTGAGTTGAATCAAGGAATTCCTCCTTGGAATCCGCCAATTAATTGGCAAAAATGGGCAATTTTGATAGAAAAATGTCTGAGGAACCTGATTGCTAAGATTTGTACAACATGAGTGCTTACAAATCTCTTGACGAGTCGTTAACTTGACATGAATGAATCTAGAATTTAATCTAGAGTTCTCAAACTTAGCCCCTTTCTAAGGTTCTGAATTCTGATTCGAGCATCCTTACTGATTCTAAGATCAGATATCTGACATCGTACTGAGCATAGACATAGTAATTTATTTATAATTTAAAACATGAATCAGCACTTACCTGTAGTCGGCGAGGCGTGAGCGTGACGTGTTCAGGTTTTATAAAAATTTTTGGCTCGTAAAAGTTTTCAGAGACGCAGAAACGTGCTCTGATACCAACTGTAACACCATGCTATTTCATGAAAATCAGAGTGCGTTTTTCGCAAAGTTTTTCAAAATAAAAACATTTTATTTGCGAAATACTGATTCAGAGTGCAACCATAAAATGTGACTCGACTGAAAAACCGTTATTTTAGTTTTAAAGAAAAACAAAACGGTTTAACATAACATAGTGACTGACTGAAATCTGAGCAAAAGCTAAGTTTTGCAAACATCGTAATCAGCGAAAAAACGTAGCGTCGACAAAACATTTTTAAACATGTAATCAAAATCCTGAATCGACTATCAGCTCACTCCTCGGCTCCGACCCTGTGACCTGAAAATAACATGAATAATGTGGGGCGTGAGCACTATATCCACTGTGCTCCGCAGAAACTCATACTAAAGTAAACAGTGAAAATAATTGC